ATAAGGGAGACATTTTCTACTTATAATCCCACTGAAAAGTATACCTCCAGTAGGACAGCGATACTTATTTTATCTGTCCTGGGACAACCACTAACTGTTACATGTGAAATTTCAACATTTGTATCTCAGGTTGGATCTGTCAGGATTCTTGTTTATTGCAAGACAGAATGCGAAGAACTATAGGCTCCACCACTGTTGAATGACTGTAGTGTAGGGTTACCATACGTCCGGATTTTCCCGGACATGTCCGGCTTTTTGGGATTTCCCCCCGGACGGGGATTTGGAGTCCAAAAAGCCGGACATGTCCGGGAAAATCCGGACGTATGGTAACCCTACACTACAGTCATTCAACAGTGGTGGAGCCTATAGTTCTTCGCATTCTGTCTTGCAATAAACAAGAATCCTGACAGATCCAACCTGAGATACAAATGTTGAAATTTCACATGTAACAGTTAGTGGTTGTCCCAGGACAGATAAAATAAGTGTTGCTGTCCTAGGGGAGGCATACTTTTCAGTGGGATTATAAGTAGAAAATGTCTCCCTTATTCTTTCTACCCAGTGAAACTGAGGTAGGGGATGCAAAGTAGGCAATTATCCCCTATTCCTGTTCCTCTTCATTCTTCTTTAACTTTTCTCACTCACCTCTGTCCTCTTCCTTTCTCCTAGAGAGAATAACAAAAGAGTTACATTTCACCTTGACCAGATTATTGCAGAGTGACAGGTGGTGGGTGGGGTGGGGGGGTTGTTTTTACTGCAGCAGCTTACAGGTTAAGGGGTGGAGGAGGAACACAATTCACACTCTTTTTTCCCAGTTTGACAGCAGTTTGTCTTCAGTTTTATCATTTTGCAGAAGGCCAATGTTGCACTTCCTGTCTTATGAACTAGCATTGCTTTCATCATCTCTTATCTGAAGGAGCTCCAAGTGCAAGCTGTTCCCTAGGGTATTTACCACTAATGGGAGCAGAACTGAAATGGCAACCAGCAGGAATGCGTGAAGAGCTGAGGAGGGGTGGGCCCGGGCATGTAGGGAAGTGCTCTGCACTCTCCTTTGCTAGACAGATTTTTGTAAACATCAGCAGGAGAGTTGAAAACACTCTTTAAAACTTACAAAAAGGTCCATAAAATGAAAATGCACATGGTATTAAAGGGTGGTCTGTTTGAAACCTGAATTATTTTGAAGATAGTCATTCAACAAATCCAAGCGGACTTGGGTCCCTTTTGAAATTCAGGTAGCTTTGTTAGGGTTTAGGCTAGCGATGGATAAATTTAATATACTTTTTAAGTCTCATGATCCTCTGACAGTCCCTGTCTCTCTTCTTTCTGTGATTATCCTATCTTGATGTACTGAAACTGATACTATGGCCTAATTTAAAGAGAGAACATTAAACCTATTTTTAACTCTTAACCATGACAAATAATTGAAATATCTCCTATTTATCCAGCATTATTTCTTGCAGGTCCCTCCTGCACCAGAATCCGTCTCAGCTGGAGCTTGCCAGATTTCACTTGTGACCCAGCCCTGGATTTAGACCTAGCTTTCCAGAGGTGAAAGGTTAGTGTAGCCACCAAATGTCTTTCTCCTTGTGGTCATTTGTTTATATTGCCTCTTAAAAGGTACATGCCAGATTCTTTTCCTGCTGACTCTTTTCCAAATACATTTTGAAAATTTTTGCAAATACATTTGGAAAAGTCCTCTTATTTTCACCTGCCTTCCCACTCCTTTTGCCCGCTCCACCTCCCTGTCTGCTTCCTCCTATTGCTCAAAGTGCTGAAAGGAAGATGGTACCCTTCCTTTACAGTGTGGGAACACCAGCAGCATTGTTGTCAGTGGAGCTTTGGGCATGCTGCTTGGTTATTAATTTCAGTGCTACAGCCAGCATGGAAAGTACACATAAACTGTCTAGTCTAGTTTTAGCTTTTGAGGGACAGGGACATTTTTCTTGCAGTGTGTCTGTACAGCATCCTGCACAATGGGACTGGGATCCTGATTGGGCCCTCTGGGTGCTGTTGTAAGTTAAAATAGTTAGACTAAAATGTTTCTCTCTTAGTTGCATCTGAAGAAGTGAGGTTCTTACCCACGAAAGCTTATGCTCCCAGTACTTCTGTTAGTCTCAAAGGTGCCACAGGACCCTCTGTTGCTCTCTCTTATTAGATACAAAACTTGAGAGGTCTTTCATAGTACAGTTTGGGTCCAAGTTTCCAATCACCAAGGAAAAGTATTAGAATAGGAGGGGGCTGGCTTTCACCCACTTTTTATTTACAGGGCTTTTTGGGGGTGCTTAGAATATCACCCATGAGGGGAATTGTCCATGGTGAAGGATTAAAGTCAGCAGGAGGGTCATTGGGAAGGGGGCATTGGTGACACTTTTTTAATTCCTCTCTCCAAAAGTGCAAGCAGCTAGCCATGGTTGACAAGTGGTTAGGACCTTGCTTATGCAACCATATTTGGACATTAAAACTTCACTAGTTACTATCCTCTCACAAATCTTCCAGTTTTAAGGAAGTTTATCAAGAAGGTCGAGATGAGCCAACTTCAGCGGTAGATTGAAAAGACTTCTTGGATTCCTGTCGGTCAGGATTCAGATCCTAATATGGAATTGAAATTGTGTGGATGTACTGATAGTGATCCATCTTGCTCAGTTTTTATAATAGGTCACTTGAGGAGATTTTCAAATATATTGTACTGCAATGTTGTATATGTATGGGGATAGTCAGATGTGTGTCTGCTTTTTGTAACAGCCATGTTCTATTCTCCTGGCATTCACAGTTCCTGAGAGAGACAGGGATCTGGATAAAATTGAAATGTCTATATCAGGGGTCAGCAACCTTTCAGAAGTGGTGTGCCGAGTCTTCATTTATTCACTCTAATTTAAGGTTTTGCATGCCAGTAATACAGTTAGACCTTCTAAAAATGTTACTTTCTATAAGTCTATAATACATAACTAAACTATTGTTGTATGTACAGTAAATAAGGTTTTTAAAATGTTTAAGAAGCTTAATTTAAAATTCAGTTAAAATGCAAAGCCCCCTGGACGAGTGGCCAGGACCCGGGCAGTGTGAGTGCCACTGAAAATCAGCTCGCATGCTGCCTTCGGCACGCGTGCCATAGGTTGCCTACCCCTGGGCTATATAGTTAACCCAGAAAAGAACGAAAGGCATGCTTTTTGGTAAAAGACAACGGTAGTGGACAAACGGGTGTCTCAGTGTGCATTCTTGCGTTTTGTCAGAATGATTAATGGATCGGTTGCTGCTCTTGTGACAGATCTAGGTATTTGCTTTTGATGTTTTTTCATCTAAAACTGCAAAGGAGGCTGCCCCATTCTTTTCTAATGCAAACCTCACAACAGAGAGCTGTGCAAATAACTGACTATTTTCATTTCACTGGCAGTTCCTTAAAAATTTTTTTTTTTTTTAAGTTCAGGTTGTTTAATCAAACTTTTTGGGGATTTTCAGCAGGGAAAAAACAGAGTAATTTTCATTCAGGTCAAACTAAACTTTATTTCAGTTTTGGGCATTTAACCTTGTTTTGTTTTAGCAAAGAAAATGAAGGGCTAGATTCACAAAACAGGGAGCGGGAGGGAGTGCCATCACCTATAACCTTTATCCTGGAGCACTTACCCGAGATATTGAAGGCCTGGGTTTGAATCCTTGCTCTGACCATCAGGCTATAGGGCATTTATTCATGGATTGTTCTCAGTCTCTCCTTTTGAAGCTGTTCCTCTATGTATAAATTAATTAAATTGTCACTGGAGCAGGGATTGGAACCTAGATGTTCCCCCTCCCAAAGGGGAGTCCTAAACAGAGGGCTGTAAGTCATATTCTCGGTCTCTGGTCCAATGACTCTTCCGCTATTTTATACAAAGTGAAACGGCTTCAACAGAAGAAACTCTGAGATTTCCCCCACGTTGGAATACACTGTAGGCTGGTGGTTAGGGCAATCACCTACAAAGTGAGAACCTGGGTTCAAGTCCCTGCACCAGAAGGGATTTAAACCTGGGTCTCCCAGTCCCTTAACCACTGGGCTAAAGTTTTATAAGGGGGAACTGCCACTTCCTCTAAACTTTTTTTTCTTTTTTCATTTAAACCAAAACAGTTTGCTGAAATCAACACTAGTTCACAAAACATTCAGTCAACTCAAATCTGTATTTTTCGGTGAAAAATGTTCTGTGGAAAAGCTTTGCCCATCTGTGTGCAAATGTCTTCTGCACCTTTCTCCCTTCCAGCCTTTGGGAGCTTCAGTTGATGCTGAATGTCTCTTGGCTGCTGTGAGTTGCCAGGTGTGGATTCCTATGTACACTTGGGTGCAATTCAAGGTGTATGATCTGGTTGTCAGACTTTTGTCTTTTCCCTCTACCTGTCATGGGAGTTGAGGCCAGCAGGAAGGCACTTGTTTCTAATAGGGGAGCACTCTATTAGCAGTGGTAGAGCTTTCTCAGCTCCTATTTAAAATTCACTCCTCTCTGGTGGTCTGCCTGAGTCTACAAAAGCTTTAAAGGCACACTGCAATGCTTGTCTGGTATGATTGTGTTTTGTCTTTTTTAATGAGTGATACATCTAACCTGTGATCCTTATTGAATTACCTAGTTGCCATGGTGCTAGGCACTGTTGAAATTAGCAAATAAACCTGCTGATCTGCAGTGTTGTAGGGGTGGAGGAATCAAGAAAAATTGAAAAACCTTTTGAAATGAAGTTCTTATGTATGTTACAGTTGAGGAGTTACCATGATAGTTGAGTGCTGCTGGTGAATAGAAACTGCATGAAGGCTTTCAACTTCTGGAGTTTCATAGGCAAGCTGCAATTGCTCTTTCCAATTTTACCACCTAATTTTAATGTTGTTTTGCAACGCTATTGTAAGTGTAATCTCCTCAGGGAAACAAACGCAAGCTGCATCATGCAAAGCTTCAAGCAACTTGCAGTATAAATATTTTTATTGTTTGCTGTTCTTTGAAGTCTTCAATAGCTGCTCATTCTTTTCTACCAGATCAAGATGAGTAAATTCATCCTGTATCAAACTTGGTGACTCTTCTCTTGGACTTTCTACATTTGAGAATGAGCTATATATCAAATCTGTGCAGTACTGCTCTCTGGACTATGACTTCTTATAATCCATGCCTTTTCTTCAGTAGTACTGCAACTCTTAGTGTCCTGTCATTCTGCTATGGCTTTGAAATCTAAAGAATGTGAGAGGGATGGCCTGTATCTTTACCTTACATGCCCTAAGTGGAATTGACATGAGGGTGAATGCAAAAATTCCAGGAACATTGTAGGATTAGACACAGTGTCCATTTGTGAGAGGTTGACAGTGCTCAGAGGATGGTGTTAATGAGGGAAGGAAAGACAGAAAAAGCTTGCTGTTCTAATATGCGACGTGATGGCCAGGAAAATAAGTAAGTAAACAATATGAGAAAAATGCAGTATATGTGTAACTACTAGCTCCATAAATGGGCATAAATGTTTTGTAAATCATATACCTAGTATAAAACATGACTGAAAATATTATACCACTTTGATTGACTTTAGGGGCCTTCTGTACCAAATAATACATATTTGGGGTAATGGGGAAGGACTGCAGTATAATATTTAACTGCAACATTTTTAGTTTATTTTTTAAACTAGCTGTGGGGAGTAAGGGAGCACACTTCTTACAGGTTACGCACCCAAATATAATTTTATAAAAGTAATTATGGTTTACAGTATAACACGGCTTTTTAACAGTGGCTCATCAAAGGTACACGTGGCTGATTTGGTGTGTAGAAGATAATGTAATTCGAATATGTAACTTATTAACATATCTGAATTAAACTTGGAAACTATTACTCTGATGTGAGTTTACCAGTAAGTATGGGAAAGTCAAACATTAAGGCAAATGGGAGTCAAATTTTTAAAACAAAATTTGACTGAATATATGGCTGCTTAGTGAATGATCTTGATTTCACTGTGATTATAGCTGTTTCTGCATTTTTAATAATTTCACCATGTTAATATTTCTTTTATTTAATTGTAAATTATAATTAATGATCAAGTTCCTCAAATCTGAGGAGAAACTAGAGGAGATTTGGAAGAGATCAAGATGATTGGATTTTGAGCATAAGAAGAAAACCAGAATCATCTAAGATTTATTAGCTCAATATTAAAAAAACAAATCTCTTCAATTGGATACCAGGGGCTTTGTCAGTTCTGCCAACACAAACATGGGTGTCTCTGTAACAGCAGAATTGCATCAAATTATTTGGTGGGTTGTTGTGTTGTTTTTTTGTTTTTTTAATTCTTGCCCTGAAATATGCAGCTCATATTCAACTTCCCTATTTTGAGAAAATGGCAGTTAAATTTTGAGCTTTTCACTCCCGAAAGCTTTCTCCCTGTCGAGTTAGATATGAAACAAGCTAGATATTTAATATTTTAGTGTTACCTTTTTTTAGGGTTGAACTGTATTTGGTTTAAAAACAAAACAAAAAAACTGAAATATCCATACATTCCTGAACAGGAGTTCTTTTGTTAAATTTGAGCATCTATTTATGGTCCTCTTGTGTGTTACTTAAAAGTTCATATTTGTATTGTGGCAACATTTAGAGGCCTCAGTTGGGGATTAGTTTCCTTTGTGCTAGACACACACACAACAACAAAAATTGTCCCTGCCCCAGAGATGGTGAGTGAAAGAGGACACCATTAACTTGAAATCTAAACTTCAGAAAACCAGTTAAATACTAACCTGGCCCCGGCCTATTTCAGTAGGTATACTTTTTCATTTTCTTGTCTTTTAAAATGTCCCCCTTCCCTATGGCTGTGTTGAAAGGCCTAAATGAAGAGAGGTTGACTAATAGTCTGTACAGGGGAAATGATGAAACTCTCTAGACAATGTGCTGTCAAAAGCACAAAGTAAGCAAAACTGGGGGAAGTCTCCTTAATCTGTGAGTTACTCAGGGCCGGCTCCAGGCACCAGCCCACCAACCTTGTGTTTGGGGCGGCACCTGGAGGGGGGCGGCGTGGCGCTCCGGCCCCCAGGGAGAGCGGGGCCACGGCCGGGCTCGCCGCCCTGCCCCCTGCGCTCTGGCTGCCGGGGGGAGAGCGGAGCCCCCGCCGGGGCTCGCCGCCCTCCTCCCGGGGCTCCAGCCGGCGGCTTTTTTGCCTGGGGCGGCAAAAAAGCCAGAGCTGGCCCTGGAGTTACTGTCGTCATATGCTTCACTTGTAACAAAAGACAGAAGTGACGTTTTAAAATTAACTCTGTCCCTTTAAACTTGATTTGAAAGATTTTTCTCATATGATCTTTCCTTAAATATACTGTGTGTGTTCTGACAGGTATGCAGTGCCTTGAGGTACAGACTTGAACATCTGAAGATATTTAGAAATAATCTTGAATAAATTATTTCTACCTCAATACAGCTCTTATGGCTGAGTAAAACTAACTTGACTCTTATGTTAATTATCTGCCTGTCGTCTTGTTGTCCCAAATTGTGCATTACATGCTGTGGCCCTGATCCTGCAAGCTAGTTTTTGCAGCGGGGCCTTGAACCCTTGCAGAGCCCCCTTTGAAGTCAATGGGGCTCTGTAAAGGGGCAAAGCCCACCAGCATGGAACATCTTGTAGGATCAGCGTTTGAGTGTCTGTTGCAGAGATGAGCAGTGTCTGTTGTCCCCACTGGCCAAAGGCCCCAATCAGGATCAGGCACTTTTGCACTATGTACTGTATACCTGCATAGGAAGTTATAATTCCTGCCCAGAGAAGGAGCTCACAGACTAATTCTAACCATGCAAATGAGCAATGTTTCTGTATTAATCTTACCTTTTTAATTACATTTTAAGGTTGCATGATGGAATTTAAATTTTCCCAAGAAAAGCTTCACATTTTGGATCAGTATCGCTGAGATTGTCTTCTGTTTGCTATACACTGAGTGGAGTCTCTTGACATAAACTTGGCCAAAGAGTACATAAAAATGGATCTCAAAGAAAGCTGCCCAAGTGTTAGCATTCCCAGCTCTGATGAACATAGAGAGAAGAAAAAGAGGTTTACTGTAAGTATGTTAGCATTTCTCTAGACAGACTACTTGTTACTTATGTGCTTTGTTTTGTACATTAGCACACATCTTAAATATTTGACTATTATTGTGCTCTCCACATACTGATGACAGAAATTAGTGTTTGCTCAAATGCAAATGATATGTACTGGACATAATGAACAAAATGCTTTACACAATGAATCTTCAAGCAGAATAGGATATTTATTCTAGAGTTTGTCACTTTTTGTAGATATAGTTCTGGTTTACAAATTCTTGATACCCCTTTAAACAAAACTGCAGATTTTTTTTTTCATATTTGGCATTTAGTGTATAAATGTGGGGGGAAATTTTTTTTGCCCTAGCATATCCGATCCAAATGTTGCCATATCTTTTCTGTGAAAAACATAAAATCCCAAAGAGTGAAGTGTAACTTAAAAAAAAAAAAAAAAAAAAAAGGCGAGCTCCTGAGTATACACACTCTACATTTATTTTACATCTTTACAGTTTTTCTTAACGGTTTTTATACGTTTTTTAAAGGAAACTCATCACTTATTACACTCTCCCTCCCTCTCCCTCTCCCATATATTTTCTCTGACTCTTATGCCCTTGGAAGTTTCCCTCCCCTCATTTTGTTTCCTTTTGGCCTCCTGATAGACATATTTTGTACATCATGCAGTCCTTTTTTTTTTTTTAAAATCTGGTGGCAGGCAGTACTTACTTGTTTTGTTTAATGGTGCAAAGAATCTTACTTGAAATAGGAAGTAAAGTGGTTTTGGGTGGTTTTGTCTTTGCTTCTATGTCTGTTAGGGTATAAAGAATGCATCCTAATGCTTTCTTTCAAAAATGTGATCCGATTCATTGCCCTGTTGTGCAATTTCCTCCTGAAACTGAGAGCTGCTGACTAGCTTGTTCTATGTTTCTAGAGAATTAGTAAATCCAAGGGTGTTTCACTGATGAAAACTAGTGCAAGGTTTATGTCTGTTTTCAGGCTACAGCAGAGTTATTCTTTTTATCTTCAGAAGGGAAAGAATATTACTTTATGTAGTCAATGTAAATATGCAAGTATATCAAAACAGAAGTAACTGTTTTGGGGGGAGTGGAGAAAAGAAAAAGGGTGTTTGGTTAACTTGCAGTTTGGGGGGGGTCGGTATGTGTTGGAAGTGTATTTCATGTGATTTTGTAGTTTGAAAGAAGTAGCTCTCTCAAAAGTCTGATCTTCCTATAACAAAATTAACACATTGTACTACCTAAATGTTAATTCTTTAGACTTGTCAGTGGTTGGACATTTATCCTGAAATTTCTTGCTGTGGTAAGTTCACTAGTGACAGTCCCCAGAGTTTTAAGCACCAGGTCATGTAGAATTTTTTTTAGGCAGAAAATCAGCTGTAACCTAGAGACCTGTCTCCCTGGGCACTCCTACTTGTGGAGCTGCACCAACATTAGCAACAGTGGGGAAATTTTAGAGAGAAGAGGTGACAGTAGGCACAGTCTAGCCGGGTGAATGTTCCCTATGGAAGCATATTGCTCAGTTTTGCCCTCTTCCACTTTATATCCTGGAATAATTAGCAGCCTGACAAATTATACTTTTTCACAGCAAAGCTTGTGGGTTTGTCATGTATATTTTAGGATTTAATAACACTATCAGCCAAGAAGCGATGGGTGCAGTAAATTTCAATAGTAGACCTGCATCCTCCAGAGCATTTTTATGGCTATTATACTGCATTTATTTTCTCTCCTCTTGCAAACCCATATTGCAGTGACTCTCTGGAGCCCCTGGGCATTGCTCCTTGAGCCTGCAGGAGGGGATTACGAAAAGGAGAGACAGACACACATGAGGAAAGCATTATTGTAAAAACCATAAGGAAGATGTGGAAGATTCTTGCACTTAGATGTGTAACTTTTCTTGAACTGCTTGAACATCCAGCAGGTGAGAGGATAATGTCTCAAAGGCCTAAGCTTTAGGGATGCCACTCCATTCTATTCCCATTCACCCCACAGGAGTCGAACAGTGTAGTTGCCAGTAGTGGGGACAAAAGTGCATGTCTGCATAATATGGTAGGGGTGTCCTCCTCAGGTAAAAAGATGGTACCAGTTGGTAATGCTTAACACTAGGCTAAACTACCACATATTTGTAGTTTGAGTGTTTTGGCTTTTGTGGTAAGATACAGGAGTTGTTTCCTTAGTAGAGAAGGCAGGAGATGTCTTTTTAGAAGAAAAAGAAACAGCCTGCACTTGACTGGCTGATTTTGTGACTGCCAGAGGCCTCCACTGCAGGTCTGATGTCGGGGAGTAATCTAAAACAGGGTCCTTTATAGCTGAGGGTTGTTTCTTCTACCATGATTAATAATTCTTGCTAAGAGGTTTGACTTTTCATTTTAAAAGGGATGAAATCAGAAGCTGACTTGAACATTACAATGAGAACAGAGATCTGCATGTGCTCCATTTAAAAAATTAGGATTCATGGGAAGAGATCTGGACAATCCATTTGCCCAGCCATTAGTTTTGTGCTTAGCCATAGGAGGGTGGCCCTGTCTAGTGGCAGACACCAGCAAACAAAGGAAAAAGAATACTGTCCCTTTAAAACACCAGCCTCCCTGCTTTGGCCCCTTTATAGATGTGTAAATTAAGACTTGTCTCATCTTGGTTCCCCAGGTGGCTGAGCCTGATCAGGCTCACTTCAGCTGCAGGTAATCAAAGGAAAAGAGTAGTTCTAGCTGACATGGTTAAATCTGTCTGTTTCCCAGGTTAAATCTGCCACCACCCTAGCTTAATGCAGAAATTGCTGGCTCTGCTCTCTCTGTCCCTAATCTAGGGGAGGTAGGGAATAATCCTTCACGTAAATTTCATTGGATCTCCTGGTTACATCGTGGTCTGAGAGTCTCCTGACTTGATTCCCTTCCTGGGGTTGGCTGGCGCAACGAGCAGTCCTGGATTTGGGTAAAGCAGCCACTTTCTAGAGTCTTTCAGGCTACAACAGCAGCACCACATTTGGGAGGAGTGAGACTGGGTGTGACTTCCTTCTCTCTCAGAACTGTCTTGCAATTTTTCCTTCCTGTTTTTTCTGTTCCTTGGTGAGCCTAGATGGGGATCCTCCCTTTTCCAGCTGGCAGGCCAGCCAATTTCTCTGGGCTGGAGAAGGTGCTTTGCCTGGCTCCCTTGGAAAATAACTAACTCCTCCCTGCCTGACTTCCAGGGGAGTGTTTATAGCCTATTACACTAACTCATATGCTTTCATTAGTCATGGCAGTGTAAGCATGAATCCATAGATAATACTTCAGAAGAATAATCCTTAACTATAAATAGTAACTGTGGGTGCATCATCTCTCTTCTCCTCTTTGGGAGGTGTCTAATTCTGCTGTTGCGGTTTGAGCATGGTTGAAGCAGAATGGATGGTTATGTAAACCGGTTTAGAGTTTATGCCTTTCTGGAAACGTGAGTGGCAAACACTACTCTTTTTAAATAAATTCTTTGCTAGACTTGATTGTCAACTTTGTCCAATAATGATGCATCCTAAAAACACTTTTAGGCAGTCTAACTCCACAGATACTATCTGCAGAGGAGTTACTCTTACAGATAAGTGATTGCTTACATGTTGAATGTACAGCTTTCTCCCACTTGCCTATTTTCGTCAAGACATGCTACTCAACAAAAGCTTGGGTCAGGATGATCTTCAGTGACAACCATGTGCTTTTTTTGGGCTAACAGTACTATGAAGGCTTGCTTTCTTTGTATTTGCTTTTAAAACAAATGTATAGATTTAGCTTGTTTATATATTCTTAATTTATAAAGACCTGACTCAATTTCTGTAGAATGAGGCCGCTTTCATTCTTGCATCATTACATTGGACTTGAGGCTTTCCTCATTCTCCACCCGCCCACCACAAAGTGGACCTGTATCAGCGTTTTAGTATCTAGTAGCAAGATGCTTCTGCTGAATGTGTATTCATCTTATGGAGTTTATATAGTAGTTTTACTGATGTTTAAGGCTCCAGTTTAAAACAAAATGAGCATTTTGCAGCTTACAGAAAACAGGATTTGTTAATCTTGGATTAACGCTTATATGAAGTTGTAATAAACAAGTAGTTTAGTGAGAAATATGTTTGTGTGTGTGTACATACATGCACATATAAGCCCCCCGAAAACAAAACAGGTGGCTTTTCTGAAACAGATTTTTGACATTTACTCTGTCTTTGTGTTCCCACAGGTTTACAAAGTATTGGTCTCCGTTGGTAGAAATGAGTGGTTTGTCTTCAGACGATATGCTGAATTTGATAAACTGTACAACACAGTGAGTAAAATGCATTCTAAAGAGTCACACTAAAATCGCACAAAGGAATGCTTGTTTGCTGTATGGTTTGAATTCATTCCTTTATGGTGTGTAGTCGTGTTCCACATTAAACCATCAGAGACCGTTTTTCACTAGTTTCAACTTTAATAGGATTTAGAGGTGTGGGACTTTGGGGTTTTTTGGGTATGTGGATATTATTGAATAAGTATGTGTGTGGTATTTGATATGTCTTTGTTTAAAGGAAAAAAAAGTAATCGCGTTAGAATTGTTTTTGCAAAGAAATAAAGGAAACAAGTGTATAGATAGTTGTACTTCTTTGAAAAACTTGTTTCTTAAAATACACTGCTACCTCGATATAACGCGACCCGATATAATCTGAATTTGGATATAATGCGGTAAAGCAGTGCTCCGGGGGGCGGGACTGCGCACTCCGGTGGATCAAAGCAAGTTCACTATAATGCGGTTTCATCTATAACGTGGTAAGATTTGTTGGCTCCCGAGGACGGCGTTCTATTGAGATAGAGGTGTACTTGGAAGTCAGTTAGGAGTTGTCATGATTTCCTGGAGGGGAAGACTTGATCCAGCTAAAATAAGCCTTTACAGCTGCAGACTCGTGGAAATTCAGTGGATCTCTTGGGTTCGTTGCTGGCAGAGGCTGTTACTACTGTACACACTTTTTTCATAGATTCATAGATTCTAGGACTGGAAGGGACCTCGAGAGGTCATAGAGTCCAGTCCCCTGCCAGCATGGCAGGGCCAAATACTGTCTAGACCATCCCTGATAGACATTCATCTAACCTACTCTTAAATATCTCCAGAGATGGAGATTCCACAACCTCCCTAGGCAATTTATTCCAGTGTTTAAGCACCCTGACAGTTAGGAACTTTTTCCTAATGTCCAACCTAGACCTCCCTTGCTGCAGTTTAAGCCCATTGCTTCTTGTTCTATCCTTAGAGGCTAAGGTGAACAAGTTTTCTCCCTCCTCTTTATGACACCCTTTTAGATACCTGAAAACTGGTATCATGTCCCCTCTGTCTTCTCTTTTCCAAACTAAACAAACCCAATTCCTTCAGCCTTCCTTCATAGGTCATGTTCTCAAGACCTTTAATCATTCTTGTTGCTCTTCTCTGGACCCTTTCCAATTTCTCCACATCTTTCTTGAAATGCGGTGCCCAGACTGGACACAATACTCCAGCTGAGGCCTAACCAGAGCAGAGTAGAGCGGAAGAATGACTTCTCGTGTCTTGCTCACAACACACCTGTTAATACATCCCAGAATCATGTTTGCTTTTTTTTGCAACAGCATCACACTGTTGCTTGTGGTCCACTATAACCCCTAGATCCCTTTCTGCCGTACTCCTTCCTAGACAGTCTCTTCCCATTCTGTATGTGTGAAACTGATTTTTCCTTCCTAAGTGGAGCACTTTGCATTTGTCTTTGTTAAACTTCATCCGGTTTAACTCAGACCATTTCTCCAATTTGTCCAGATCATTTTGAATTATGACCTTGTCCTCCAAAGCAGTTGCAATCCCTCCTAGTTTGGTATCATCCGCAAACTTAATAAGCGTACTTTCTATGCCAATATCTAAGTCGTTAATGAAGATATTGAACAGAGCCGGTCCCAAAACAGACCCTTGCGGAACCCCAGTCGTTATGCCTTTCCAGCAGGATTGGGAACCATTAATAACAACTCTCTGAATACGGTTATCCAGCCAGTTATGCACCCACCTTATAGTAGCCCCATCTAAATTGTATTTGCCTAGTTTATCGATAAGAATATCATGTGAGACCGTATTAAATGGCTTACTAAAGTCTAGGTATACCACATCCACAGCTTCTCCCTTATCCACGAGACTCGTTAACCTATCGAAGAAAGCTATCAGATTGGTTTGACATGATTTGTTCTTTACAAATCCATGCTGGCTGTTCCCTATCACCTTACCACCTTCCACTTAGAGGAGAGCAAGCTGGGCCAGTCCTAGGCATGTGCCAATTTTGTTGTTATCCAGGGCCATGCACTTATGGGGACCCTACTGTCTGCACTCTGTCCTAGTATGTACTCACCTAAAGTCACTGCCTCCAGATCTTACAAGAGGAACTAACCCCCCACAGCCCCTCAGATACATGTGTTAGGAGGTTTGGTTCACAAAACATCAGCTGCTGAAACCACCCTCCTTGGCACCCTCAGTGACATACACTCTGTTCTGTCCACACACCTTGTTTTACCTAGGTGACTGAAGTCTGCCTGGGATGCCACATGTCATACTTGGCACACCTCTTAGACTACCCATGGGGTCAAGGGAGAAAGAAAGTATCCCCTCTTCAGTGGCTGAAGAATGCTAATATAGCCCACCCATCTGGATTGTCAGACAATGTCACTACTGTCATGAAGCGTAGTCGGCCCCAGCCTTTCTAATGCAAGTGTAGGTTCTTAGAGAAATTAGCCAAGGTGAAAGGGACATCTGCCCCAATTTCTCCTGAAAAGAAGGGAGGGAGCTGGACATTCCAAAGGACTCTGCAAACTGCATAGCATGTCAGGGAGGAACTTGAAATGCCAAATGGAGTTGATATTGAAACTTGCCTATGGGGTAACTGGAGAAAGGGACCACCAGCTCTTAAATCAGAGGAGAAGAAATAGTCTCCAAAACAGAGAGAGATGTATCTGCTGCTCCTTTCACAATTTTTAGATGGTGGCTTTTAAACACACGGGCTTTGCGGAGATCAAGGAGAATGAATTGGAAGGTATTAGTGTCTTTATCTCTACTAAGATTTCTACCATATTATAAACTCCTTAGTTTTCCTTCCTATTCCCTCTATTGTTTGGCCTCCTACATAGTATGAATAAATTCTTTATCTGCAATCCTCTCTGGATGCACTTTTTTCAAATGAGTTCACGCAGTGCCTCTCACAGGCATGTTACCGTTATGCATCCTTTATTGGTGAATTAGTTTGTTCCTCAATGGCTAGGGCAAAGTGTCTGAATTTCAGCCATCATGCCTAGGGGCTCCTTACTCCTAGAGATTGCTTTACTGTGGTGTAAACCTGGATCTTGACTTTCAGGCTATACATATACAAGGAGGAGTGACTAAGGCCTTGTCTACACTACGAGAGTAGTTCGATTTTACTTGCATCGAATTTTTGTAATCGATATTGCAAAGTCGAACGTGTGTGTCCACACTAAGGACTA